CCATCACTGTGAGAGTGTGTGTGCTCAAGAGCCTGGCGACATTAGATGCCATATGGCCATGTCTAAATTTCAGGTTGGATCATATCATATTGAATGCAAACCAAGCCCACTCTCACAGTGAGTGTGCACTGTGAGAGTGCTTACCTGAACCTTTGCTGGGTAACTGCTATACACAGAGCAGGTTCCGGATGTGTTTCACCGGCCAGGCGACTTCAAGCCTGCTTGCAAGGTACTAACCTCAGTACGTGCATTTGCATTTTGAGTTTGTGGCTTGGAAATATGCTGTGACAGCTTATTGCACTGTGAGAGTGCTAGGAATATGCTGTGACAGATTATTGCACTGTGAGAGTGCTAGGAGAGTGCTAGGAATATGCTGTAACAGATTATTGCATTGTGAGAGTGCTAGGAGATTATTGCACTGTGAGAGTGCTAGGAATATGCTGTGAAAGCCCATGGCACTGTGAGAGTGCTAGTGATAGGGCAATGTCCTCCCGCATTATTTTTTGCAACCCTTCATTCCTGGCTTCCCATGCCCTGAATCCTGCCTGGAAACTGTCAGCACCATCATCCAGCCAAACCTTGGCCCATGATGTCAGAGAATTGCTTTCGAAGAGCAAACTATAGAATTTCATTTGGAAACTTCGTGGCTTTGCTGAAAAATGTGTAAAGGATCATATCATTGTTTGGCATTGCATCCTACTTGAATTTTGTTCAGATCTTCCGGGTTCCACAACCTGCTTGATTTTGATAATCAAAAATCCATGGGGAATTGGGTGGTGAAAAATCCGTCGGATCTGGGGTGACCAAAAACCGTCGGATCGGAGATGGCAAAAAACCGTCGGATCTGCAGGGCTAAAAATCCGTCGGATCTATATAGGGTGTTAAAAAACCGTTGGATCGGGGTTGTGCAGATCTGAACACCGAAAGATCTGAAGTTTTTTTTTCCGTCGGATCCCATTTGAAATAAATAAGCAGAAAAAAAAAATGGATCTGAAGAGAGAAATCCCACGGATCATGGGGGCACAAACTGTGCGACTGTGCAGGACAGATCTGGAGAAAAAAAAATTCCTTCGGATATCGGAATGAAAACCAAAAAACTTCGGATCTTGATAGCGCAGATTGTTTGGCAAAGATCTGTTGGATCATTGTTCCCGCTGCAAAATCTGAAGATTTTTTTTTCCGTCGGATCTCATGTACGCAATCTGTGTATGTGAGATCTGTGGGATTTTATTTTTTTTTGTTATTTTGAATTTGTTTAAATATTTTGTGTTTGTTTTTATTTCGATCTGCTTGGTGTGTCTGGAACCTGATATGTTTTGGTTACCCAGATCTGAAAAAAAGGATGCACCCCCATCAACAATATAGCAGAATCTATGTCTTTGCCTTGGGCTGTCCCAATTGAAACCCCCTCGTTCTGGAACTTTTTTGTGGGTAAGAACAGATGCCATCTGGTATAGTTCTGAATTAATACAGCCCTGTTGGCACTGACATTGCCCTATTATCACTAGCACTCTCACAGTGCAATGGGCTTTCACAGCATATTCCTAGCACTTTCACAGTGCAATAATCTCCTAGCACTCTCACAGTGCAATGGGCTTTCACAGCATATTCCTAGCACTCTCCTAGCACTCTCACAGCGCAATAATCTGTCACAGCATATTCCTAGCACTCTCACAGTGCAATAAGCTGTCACAGCATATTTCCAAGCCACAAACTCAAAATGCAAATGCACGTACTGAGGTTAGTACCTTGCAAGCAGGCTTGAAGTCGCCTGGCCGGTGAAACACATCCAGAACCGGCTCTGTGTGTAGTAGTTACCCAGTAAAGGTTCAGGTAAGCACTCTCACAGCGCTAATAGCCATGGTGCTCTCACAGCACTTGCCTTTCAATGTTTGACACTCTCACAGTGTCAAACTGACCTGCCTAGAAGTGGTAGAACTGGCTCCTGACATGCCTGAGCGAACCTGATCTGCAAAGATTGAGACTACATGATGATACCAATAAATGTGGAATCACCTTGGGACTTTTAACATCCTGTTTTATTTTTTAGGCATCTGATTTTCAAACCAAGGTCAGGAACAAGCGCTTCACTATAACCAATGGGATACTCCATGTAAAAAGGGTGCAAGGTTTGCTGGATCCGCTACAGATCGAATCCCATTGATGGTATTTTTTAGTCAATAGATACAACCTGAAACCATTGTTTAGACGTCCGGCTAATGTCGCCAAGTGGAGCCCACACACTCTCACAGTGATGGGTTTGCCTTGAACCGATGACGCAATTTGCCAAACCTATTGGAAGAGAGGCGCTCTCACAGCACTCTCACAGTGCCTATCCAAATCTACACATCCTCACAGCAGTGATCAACATCATGTAATGAACCTTATGATGTTTTTTTCATTATTTTCTTTCTCTGATAGTTTTGTAATTTTCAATTTTTCCAAATTTTCACTCATCCAAATACTGTAATTTCATTAATTTTTCAGACTTTTTATAAATGCACACAGACTTTTTATAACAACAAAGCGTCGTGTGGCAGGCGCAGTACACAGAGCCTCCAGGAGGAGCTGCGGCGCGCGTGGCCGCCGCTGGGCCGCGGCTGCCTTTCGTGTGGCAGGCGCAGTACACAGACCTTTCAGGAGGAGCTGCAGCGAGCGAGGCCGCCGCTGGGCCGCGACTGCCTTTCGTGTGGCAGGCGCAGTACACAGAGCCTCCAGGAGGAGTTGCGGCGCGCGTGGCCGCCGCTGGGCCGCGGCTGCCCTTCGTGTGGCAGGCGCAGTACACGCCCAGCGGCTGCCTTTCGTGTGGCAGGCGCAGTACACAGAGCCTCCAGGAGGAGTTGCGGCGCGCGTGGCCGCCGCTGGGCCGCGGCTGCCTTTCGTGTGGCAGGCGCAGTACACAGAGCCTCCTGGACGAGCTGCGGCGCGCGTGGCCGCCGCTAGGCCGCGGCTACCTTTCGTGTGGCAGGCGCAGGACACAGAGCCTCCACATCATCTTTGACACACCATCTTTCTCACACCACTTTGTTACCCACCAACTTTGACACACCATCTGTCACACCACTTTGTCACACACCATCTTTCACACACAAATTTGTCTCACACCATCTTTCAGACACCATCCTTGACACACCAACTTTGACACACCATCTTTCACACCACTTTGTCCCACACCATCTTTCACACACCACTTTGCCACACACCATCTTGCACAAACCACTTTGTCACACACTATCTTTCACACACCACTTTGCCACACACAATCTTTCACACACCACTTTGTCAGACTCTCTCTTTCACACACCACTTTGTCACACACACACCATCTCTCACACACCATCTGTGACACAACATCTTTCACAGCACTTTGTCACACACCATCAACACCATCTTTCACACACCATCTTTGGCACACCATCTTTCACACACAACTTCGTCACACACTATCTTTCACACACCATCTTTCACACACAACTTTGTCACACACCATCTTTGACACCACATCTTTCACACACACCATCTTTCACACACCGTCACAGACCATTTTTCACACACCATCTTTCACACACAACTTTGTCACACACCATCTTTGACACACCATCTTTCGCACACAACTTTGTCACACACCATCTTTCACCACACCATCTTTGTCACACACCATCTTTCACCACACCATCTTTCACGCAGACAACTTTGTCACACACCATATTTCCTCCACCTCTTCCTTTGTCTTTCCTTCCTTCCCCGTCCCCGCAACAACATTTCTTGCTCATTATTGGAAGAAGTTGACTTGTGGGGTTATCCGGTCCTTTTATTGTGTTATGCATACGTTGCTATATCTTGCTTACATTGCTTCTGTGTTTGACTTTGTTGTCCAACGTCTCCTATAGCGGCACGTCATATCGTGGTGTTGTTTCGGTTGTTTGTTTTGGCAATGGCACCTTGGAGTCCAGGGGTGGACGTCCGACCATCTGCGGGAGCACCTATCTGACAGGGCTGTGCAGAGGCTGACAAAACGTTGGGAAGTGATGACGGAAAGAGGACCAAGGGTTGAACATGGTATAGCAATGTATACCATAATTACATAGGTATATATTTAGGAACAAGTAGCATAAACGATTCACCTAATTAATATGCACGTATTTTTTCTGCATACAGGTACACATGGAATTTGAACCCAGAGGGCCCAGAGCGATTGATAAACTAAGATACTTGCGCACAGCATGAGTATTGGCCAATGATGCTGCCTGTCGCTAGCTGCCGTTGCATCCCGTTGTCTTAAGTGTCTTGTGCAAGCTACATGCTGCAGCCGGACTGATCTGGGCTATCTCTCTAAGCATTCTAAGCCATGTTTTCTTTGAATGGAGTGTTGTGGGGTGCTTCTGGAATATATTGAGGCTCCTTGGGGATAGGAGTGACTCAGTGGACCGGGCTCCTTGGGTCTCGTCTTGCTTTGCCCACATAAGCTTCGAGATTTGGCGCCTTCGCCAGATTGGATGCATTAAAGCGAAGGGCCCAAGAGGAGATGAGTGTCGACCGCTACGAGGCGCAGATTCTGTCTTGCAGGCAAAAAGCAAAGCTCTGAACCCCACTAGGCATCACTAGGCCAAAATTGGCGGATTGATTGAAGACCGTGCCTTTTGCACACTAATTGATTTGAACGCACTCAGCATGGCACTCAAGCTTGGCGGGTGTGTACATGTACGAACATGTATATATGTATATTTACACTTCAAAGATTCTCAAATTAATTTGATCATTACGGTTTTGTGCGTGTGTGTTTTTGTATGCTATATCATTATGCTATATCTAGGTCAATGCTAGAGGGATCAAAGCTGCTAAGAATCAAGAAATCTTAGCCACTGTGTATGTATGATTGTACATGTGGGCAAGTTCTCGTTTGGAAGTGTTTGGTTCAGCGTTTCTGGCTCAACACACATTAGGTTGCTGAAAGATCTCACCTGTTATTCATCCTACAAGAGGCACCCCCTGCATCGCGCATGGATCCGTATGGATGTTTGTGTGGCAACGCTGAGTCTTACTCAGAGCCACTCTTTGACTTCAATGCTGTTCCTGGTGAAAGGGCGGCTGTCGCCCTGACTGAGACCCCTGCAGAACATGAGCAGATGTTTCTTCCGCAGGTGTGGGTTCAGTCAAGCAATTGTTGCTTCCTACAACTCTGAACAAGTCTGAACATGTATTGGTTGGTTTGACTATATTTGGTCAGAGGATTTAGTGTAAGGTGACACGGCAGAAATGGCTCTTCCTATGCTTATCAGACTGTGACTGTGTGACTGTGAGATCTCAAGCGCGAGAGGGAGAGAGCTAAACAAGGATCGTTTGATGTACATTGGTTATAATGAAGCCAGGATATGCCACTCCCTGGGGCGCTTCCAAGGTGGAGCGAATGCTCAATCAGTTGGAAGCACGGCTTAAGCACCACATAGATGCTGCCGTCCACGGTGCTGCAAGCTCTCATGCCAAGATGGCATCAGACACTCGGCGAGGGCATTCTAACTTAGTGCTTCTACAATCCAAGGTTGGCACAAACATTTGCACACCGGTTATCACTCATGGTCCCAGATGCACATCATTCATTCGTTCATTCGTTCAGGCGCTCATTCATTGATTCGTTGATTCATTGAATTATTGATTTACATGGTTCATTGGTTCATTGATTCACTGGCTGTTTCAATGATTCAGTGATTCATCCGTTGGTTTGTTGATTTGTTGGTTCATTGTTTCGTGGTTGGGTACTCGCTGTGGAACGCCTTCAAAAGCATCGCTTTGGAACGCGGTCTCATGCGTCGCTTTGGAACGCGCCTGATCATCATGATCTTTATTCCCGTCTAAGGCCATATATATATCATCATCAGCATCAGCATCATCATCATCATCATTATCATCATCATCAGCAGCATGATCATCATCAGCAGCATCATCATCAGCATCATCGTGTTTTCTTCTATTTTGCCATGAACATAACTAGTTTTCTTCTTCTTCTTCTTCTTCAGCACCATCATCATCATTATCATCGTCATAAACATCATTATTATGCTTCTTCTTTGTCATCATCAGCATCATCATCACCATCATCATCAGCATCATCATCATCATCATCATAAGCATCATCACCATCATCATCATCATCATCATCCATCATCGTCATTTACATGTATATATTTGATTCTTGCATTTAGCTTGCGGTTGCAAGTCATATGTGTGGAATGTTGAACCAAAATGTCCACCGGACATTTTGGCTCAAGCAAAACCCAGTTTGTATCCATCTGGGTTCTATTTGAAAGGTTTTGTTTTGCTTTAGCTCTGATCGCACGACATGGCGATGACTTCGGGCGACGAGTGGGAACTCATTTCTGATGCTTTGATCAAGGAACAAGATGAAGGGGCCGACTTCTTTGCACGACCAGTGCCACCGGGTGAGAACCTTTCGGGCCTTTCGGAAGAACTTCAAAGCACGATGTCGGAACTCCAAGAGACGATCTAGTGATCGGTGGAACCGAGGAGGAGCAGGCTGCTCCGATGGACGTCCAGGAGGACTCTACACCCTGAAGCCGACAGGTGCCTCAGGCCCTGAAGGCGGAAGGGTCTGGCACTGCCCCTGCAGGTTTTGTACGTCCACTAGTACAGCCCATGATCCACCACCCAGTGCGTTGGATGCTGGACTGGACCCAGAGAACCACGCCTTCAGCAAGCTGGTGACGTTCCCGGACTCTTTCCCTAGCGTCCCCAACTACCTGGTCAACATGCTGCAGACGTGCACTGAGGAGGAGTTGGTCGACTTGTTCTCGAGGTTTATGCACCTCCCCCTCTCTGAGCCAGTTGTGCGCAGGATCTTGGAAGTGTACATACCGATGAAAGCGCAATGCCACCAAGAAGCCACTGGACGATGAGTGCACCTCTGGCCTTGGAGCGGTGAACGTCAAGTCTCGACCTCTGGGAGCCCAGCCGTATGCCTATACATGTGCAACTCCTGTACATCGGGATGGCCGGAACGAGCCACCTCCTGCCTCATGTGCCAGAAGGTCACCAAGATTCCATACATTTCCATACGCTCCCCCTACGGCATCCTACACGATGGAAGGCACAGTCTGGACCTTGGTACCGGTGGAAGGTAAGCCAACTTGGATCCAGTCTCCAGATCCTGCGAAGGGTGCCCCCAGGCCCCGAAGCACGACTGGAACTGCTCAAATTTTTGCCATTGATGCCACGCAACTTGCCCAGGCACCGGGTGCAACATCCTCTTTGGACGAGGTGACGATGGCGGATGCCGTCCCCATGGCGCTCAGGGTGAGCATGCGAGAAGAGGTCTTGGAACAGACTGTGGATGCAGACGCCAAGGAGGCGGCCGAGTTGATCCTCAAGAAGCGGCACCTCAAGTCTCGACAAGAGCAGAGCTTCCAGGTCTTCCACCCAGAGGCGGCTAAAGCCTTGGACATCCAGAGCAAAGCGATCCAACACACCCACCTGATCCACCAGGAGGCCATGGAGGATGCGGACATGAAGCGCCAGAAGACCGAGCTGGTGGATGAGGCAGCCTCCCTCAACATGCAGGTTTTGGGCCCTCTTCAAGAGGGGATGCACTCGGCACCAGACAGCAGCAGAAAATAGCCGAGGGGTGGAGATGCTGCGCAAGACCAACTTGGAGACGTTGAGGGAAAAGATGAAGGCCTCCCTGCTGGAAGGGAAGGCAAACACCATGGAAGCCATCGAGAGCCTTGGGCTAATGGTGAGCACACGGAGGCCAGCGAAACCCCAGGCCCACTTCTCGCTTTGGAACGCGCCAGGCTTCCAAAATATTGCGCCTGTCAGTAACTGTAACTCTCATGTCTGTGTGGTTCGCATTGTTGTGATGATATGTATCATTTTGTGTTCCAAAAAGAGTCGAAAATGGCTGTGTTCCAAAGTGATGCATCAGACTGTGTTCCAAAGTGATCCTGCTACCTTGTTTCGTTGATTCATTGCTTCACTGGTTCATTGATTCTTTGATTCACTCGTTAACTTTGTATTGATTCATTGGTTCGTTGATTCGTTCTTCATCGTCATTGCTTCATCGTTTCATTTTTCTTAAAAAATTGAATGTTCAGCAAATCATTGATTCATTGACTCACCAACTCACTAATTCATTCGTTCGTTCATTCATTCAGTCATTCATTCATTCATTCATTCAATCATTCATTCATTCATTCATTCATTCATTCATTTGTTCATTTGTTCATTTGTTCATTTGCTCATTTGTTCATTTGTTCATTTGTTCATTCATTCATTCAGTCATTCATTCATTCATTCAATCAATCATTCATTCATTCATTCATTCATTGGTTTACTGTGATCCATGGATTCATGGATTCACTGCATCATCGGTTTACCGACCCATTGGTTCATTGACTCACCGACTCTTTAAATTCAGTGTTCATTGATTCGTTGATTCATTGATTCATTAGTTCATTCATTTATCAATTCATTGGTTCAGTGGTTCATTCGGTCAGTTGTGCATGGATTCATTCATGTCGTTTCATTGGCATTTAAACCGCCATTTGGTCATTCGTTGGTGAACCTCAAAACTTAAACAGTTCAAAAACGTTCATATATGCCATTGATTTTCTATAGCCGTTTCCTATTTTCGAAACTTCCGCCCCGGCGAGTGCCGGGCACTATCTTGCATTGTTATTTTCAAAGGCGAATGTACTTGTTAGTGCATTGTAAAGATGCGCGTATATGCGCATCAAACCTACCCTAGGACCACATAGGCCATTAGATTTGGAATTTGTTTGGCTTTGTGCACGGAACTTTTGGTTTTTCTCGTGCAGCTGACAATCCTGCAATGGGCGCTCCGCCAGGACCTGCACTTTCCAACGGATCACAGCCATCACAGCGTGCCGGTTGAGGAGTCGCAGCTACCGGAGCGCAGTTCGCATTTTTATGGCGCAAGAGTTCCAGAGTTTTGGGCGCAATGTGATGATGTAGACCCATGAAAAAAAACATGAAAAATGTGAAAAGACTGAACAGCATTCAACAGTGTTAAGATGTGTTAAAACATGAAACTCCGATTTTGGAATGCCTGTTCCGCCTGAATTGGTTCATTAGCTTTATCAGTATCACTCGGCCACTCACTGTGCAGGTGGCACATGTTGTGAAACTTACACCTGTAAAGATTATACATTTATGTTGAGTCTCGAGCTGATACCTTCCCTGATGTTTTCCTTTCCGGTAGTATTATATATATATATATATAGTTTGATATTCTTTGAGTCAGAAAGATTCCAGAGTCCATTATAGCAGCACTTTTTTTGTCCAACACAACTGCAGACTCAGGATCATTTTCGACAAATGGTGAACGATAGCCTGCGCTCACCTGTCAAGCCAAGCAAGTGGGGTCAACTGGGCCAATCGGTTCGTTCAGCTTCAGCTGCTCCTCTTTGCTTAGTAAAGAATAGGATGGGTTGGGCTTTCTTGAAAAATCTTGAGAAAGTAGTATCCAAGGCATTCAAAACCTTTCTTCATGCATGCTGCCAGTTGGTCCGTTCCGCTCCTATGGTGTGCTTTATTTTTGTCACAGCGAGTCGCAGCTTTGCTTGTCGCTGTAGGTTCTTCATGGAATGGTTTTTTCTATGTTGAGGTGAAACGGCAAATCTTTATATTTTGGGTCGTCCGGAGCACATGTGCCATTATATAATTATATACCCTTTCAGTCATGGCAAGCCTTGTGTCCATAGAAAATGGCAATGTTTCCGATGCGATTAGGTTGGTGACCGAAGCTTCCAATGGGACACATGGAGGATATCAGGATCACGGCCGTCGCTGTCATCCTGTTCAGCTGTTTGCGAGGTCATGACTCTGACGTTGGTTTGCTCCGGCCTTTGCTCAAGCATGATTTTGAGATATTTTCCCCGTATTGACGTGTGGGTTTTTTGTTTTTAGTTCTGTATCCGCTCCTTCCTCCTCCTCCCGCCCTCCTCCTCCTCCTCCTCCTCCTCCTCCCGCCCTCCTCCTCCCTCACCACATCACATCTATCACTCATCACTCACACTCACTCTCACTCACTCACTCACTCTCACTCACTCTCACTCACTCTCACTCACTCTCACTCACTCTCACTCACTCTCACTCACTCTCACTCACTCTCACTCACTCTCACTCACTCTCACTCACTCTCACTCTCACTCACTCTCACTCACTCTCACTCACTCTCACTCACTCACTCACTCACTCTCTCGCTCTCTCACTCTCTCACTCTCACTCACTCACTCACTCTCACTCACTCACTCTCACTCACTCACTCTCACTCACTCTCACTCACTCATTCACTCACTCACTCGCTCACTCACTCACTCACTGACTGACTCACTCTTACTCACTCACTTGCGCGGGACTTGGTGCACTGCAAAGGGGTCGGATGTACGCCCTGGCGTCCCTCCGGTGTCCCTTGGTCTCCGCCGCTCTGCCGGTGGCTTTTGCATGGCAGGCGCGGGACTTGGCGCTAGAAAGATAGAAGGATAGATAGATAGATTGACAGATAGTAAATAGGTAGATAGATAGAGAGATGGATCGATAGCTAGATAGATGATTAGTTAGATAACATCCGCATGTACATCACATATATCTTACACCCGGTACACATATCGTTAACACACTACCAAAGTGACACACCTGTACATGCACATACATACATACATACATACATACATACATACATACATACATACATACATACATACATACACGCAAACTCACCCACCATCACCCCTCCATCACTCTCATACTTCCTCTTCCCTTGTTGCTTTTCTATGCTCAGTCTAAGTCTGGTGAAGTTGTTAACATGTGGGGTTATCCGGTCCTATAATTTGATATGTTGGGTTTATTTTGAGTCCCCAAGCTGTAAAACCGCTCATGTTCGCTCCCTTTGTTTGTTTTTGTTTCGTTTGGGCCGGGGTGCATTCCAATTCTGGGGTTCTCCGACTTTGAGGTAGTTGCTTATACGATTTTGATGAGCATCACTTTGCAGCTCTTGAGCTCCACGGGCCAAGCCCCGGTTTGGGCGCAACCAGCAGCTTTGATGCGGTTATACTCGCACAACCTCGCAATATCACATATGTGAGGTGGCATAGCCACAAACAGCGAACACGCAAATTATAGAGCTCGTCATCACAGACCTCAAATTTCAAACTGGCCTTGATCCTGAAAAATTATAATGCATCCTTTGCTGCAGTTTGTGTATAGCCATTTCTTCAAACTTTGGTCCCTCCACGGCTAGTTTGGCATTGCACTTGCTTGCGCCCTCAGGGAAACCGAGTTTGACACCGTGCGCGCTGAGAGTGGTGATAGGTGATGATAGTTGGTGCATTCTTGACAATGAAAGAAATTTGAGCAGCTACCAAAACCTCCATGTGGAGATTTAAAGGGCTGTTAAAGTAAGATGGCTCCGCGAAAGCTAAACCACGTTCGCGAAAGATTCTCGAAAGCTTTTGCGAAGGTTTGCTTCCGCGAAAGCTCGCGAAAGAGACTTTCAAAGCTCAAAATCTTTAAGTATGTTTAGATCGCTTCCTCAGATGTATTTGGATCCATACCTCAACATTATATTAATTACTGTATTCACAAATTTCTATAGATGTGACCCGAAACTCTGCGAAAGCTTCGCGAAAGATCCGCGAAAGCCCTGACTAGCTGGAACGGCCCCCCTTCAGCAATTTGATAGGTAAGGGAGTGGCAGTGCCCACTGAGATCTGGCGCTCGCAGTGTCTGGCTGAGATCTGGCGGTCGCAGTTTCGCCGTTGAGGTCCGGCAGTGCCCACTGTGAGGTCTGGCGGTCGCCGTTGAGGTTCGGCAGTGCCCACTGAGATCTGGAGCTCGCGGTTGAGGGCGGAGTGTGAAGGAGGAGGAGGAGGAAGAAGAAGAGGCGATGGGCGGCACACAGCTCTGATAAAATCTAGAGACTCTCACCTGGCAGGTGGGGAACAAGTGTTTCAGTATGTGTTTGGTAGGGAAAGAGGGGGTTCTTTTCAGGATTTTCCGCGGAAGCTCGCGAAAGTGTATTTCAGACACATGGATGCCGCGAAAGAAAAACCACAAATCGCGAAAGGTTCGCGAAAGAGATGGCGAAAGGGAAGGCAAAATAGAACGCAAATCATCGGGGTTTCGGCCACCGCTCATTTAGTTTTAGTAACTGGACGTGCTGTTTATGTTTATATCGATATATGTTTTGATTTTTTTAAAAAGAGATGGTATGATCCGCGGTCAGTTCGGTGCTCAGGTCGACTTGATCTTCAGTGCGCTGTTTGTCATTGACATCGCCTGTCGGTTCTTCATAGAAGGTCGGCGCTTCTTCTTCTTCGGGCCAGGTGCACGATGGATTCTTTTTTTTGCGATTGGAGTAAGGTGGAGTTTTGGGATGTTGAGTGATGTTGCGGGTGGCAGACACTGCTCCCCCTGCTTGGCAGCATTTGATGGCTTCATGAGCAGACAGGTTTATGTTTATGATTAGGAGCAACACCGATAGAGCCACAATTTTTGGGCAGCGATAGTGCTATTGGATTGTTGGCTAGATGTTGCGTCATAAGCGCCGCAGCGCATTTTAGCCTGCATGGCCATTAGGGCGTTGATTCCTCACATCTTTGTGTGCGGTTCTTGTTTTTGATTCTGCCTCCGTCCCGCCTCCGTCCCGCCTCCGTCCCGCTTCCGTCCCGCCTCCGTCCTGCCGCCTCCACCACCTCCGCCCCCTCTTTGTCTGTCACACACCATCTTTCACACACAACTTTGTCACACACCAGCTTTCACACACAACTTTGTCGCACACCATCTTTCACACACACCATCTTTCACACCCAACTTTGTCGCGCAGTCTGTCACACCCTTCTTTGTCACACACCATCTTTCACACACAGCTTTGTCACACACAATCTTTCTCACACAACTTTGTCACACACCGTCTTTCACACCCTTCTTTGTCACACACAACTTTGTCACACTTGCGAAGTCATGAAAGACGGTCTCTTTTCATGAATGCAAAGTCTGATTACCTCATGGTAGATTGAAGGCATCACTCGGCCATACCGAGTTAAAAAGGCCAAGCTTATCCGTTGACATTTGAATGTCAGGTTGTTTAAAAGAGAAACCAATACGACTCAATCAAACGTGATCATGAAATGACTGAATGACGGCATGCAGGTTCTTGGGTTAGCCTGATCCCATAAAGTACTAACAGATACGAATATGACCACCAGCTATGACCCCAACATATTGGGTATGTCATCCAGGTGCATCATGCAGGTACGTTTTCACAACCTAAGGTGAGTGTCTTCATTGGCACAAGACTCACCAAAGGTCCTTGTGCCCCCTGCTATGAATTAAAATGCAACGGTATCCAAAATTTATGGTGGAAAGCAGTTGAAAACTAGTTGGTTGGAATCAGTCGCAAGAAAGTGAGGAACTCTTTGGTACAGAGCTTGACACACACAAAAAGGCACGAAGCCGGGCTGGTATTTCTTTAAAGGCGAGAATGGAAGACATCATCAATAGATTGGTGAGAAACCGCAGAGGAAAATTTTGCAACCTCATCAGCGTGTTAGTAAATATTTTGCCGCAGCCAAAAGGTTAGGTATGCTTGAACTGCCTTCTGTACAGGACGCGTTGGCAGTCTGTTTTGGAGAACCCTTTCTGTACGTACAGCTGAATGAGTTGGTTGAGATCATCACGGACAAATTGTTTGGGAAACGTGTATCTGCGAATTAAGGTTGCACGGGACTTTAGTCCGGACAAGCGGAGACGCATGCTGCCAGCAGAATGGAGATCACGAATTTTCCATAGTGGAGGTACTTGGTACCTTACGGTTCGTTGCACGACATCGATGGTGAACCCAAGGAGTGTACCATCTTCGACGGTTTCCAACTCCACCGGCGCTTGATAAAAGAAACAATCGGAAAGCACTCGCATGGGCAATGCGGAGCGAAATCGATGGTCAAACAAAATGAATCTGTTG